AGCTGGCAGTTGTGGCACGCTAGCTCCTGTGGGCAAGGGCGGCCTCCCTAAACACTCGTCTATAGGCCTACTTCTCGCCCGCGCCTCTCCCGTGCTTTCTGTTGTTTCTGGGAGGCATTTGCTCCTTCGCTGTTCTTCTTTATCATGTTCTCTCTCTCTATCTTTAGTATTTTCATTTGGCTTTTGGTATATGGGGGTTTACTTTTCCTATCTTTTCTTAATATATAGGTCTATGTGTTCTATCTTGTTAGTTTCCTATCTTATTCTTTCTTTTTCTTTTTCCTTCTACTTTTCCTACCCTTTAGAGGCCCCTTTCGCCTAGGCCTACTACGATCCGCGCCCACGTCATTCGCGACACGTCAAACATCACCCCTCCATCTGTCAACACTCTCTCTCTCTCTCTCTCTCTCTCTCTCTCTCTCTCTCTCTCTCTCTCTCTCTCTCTCTCTGTTCCTCCTTTTCCTGTTCTTTTTACTCCCTCCCGTCTCTTCCTTGCTATCCAGCCTCTCCATTTTCCTCTTCCTTCTGATTCTCCGTGTTTCTCTTTCTCCTCCGTTCTATTTTTTTTCTTATTTCCCTCCATTCCATCGGCTACACATTTCTCACTCTTCCTTCGCTCCCACTCCCCCTCCATCCCTCCCTCCTCTCCTCCCCTCCCTCCCTCCCACACCCCCTCCCCCCCCCCTCCCTCCCTCCCTCCCACACCCCCTCCCTCCCCTTCTCCCTCCCTCCCTCCCCTCCCCCCCGTCCCTCACCTCCCCCTCCCCCTCCTCTCTCCTCCGCATAACTTCATTTTCGATTCATCAGCGCAGCGCCTCACCACGTCAAGTTTGAAACGTTATTGAAGACTCTTGTGTGACTAATAGTTAATTGCTCCAATTGTCCGCAGAGCAATAATGGCCCCGAGAAACTGTCCGCAATGATACGCTTTGTCTGTCCTTCCGTGTGTGTGTGTGTGTGTGTTTGTGTATGTGTGTGTGTGTGTGTGTGTGTGTGTGTGTGTGTGTGTGTGTGTGTGTGTGTGTGTGTGTGTGTGTGTGTGTGTGTGTGTGTGTGTGTGCGTGGTTGATGGTAATGATCACTGATCATAAAGATCTATATTATTGTCTGGAGGCAAAACCTTCCTCTTCTCCTCTCTTCCCCTTTCCTTTCCTTTCTTCTTTCCTTTCTTTTCAACTCCTCTTCCCTTCCCCCTTTTCCCCTTCTCCCCCCCCATCTCTCGATCCCCTCCTCCCTCCCCCTCTCCCTATTTTCCATCAGCACCTGTCCCCCTTGCCCCTTGCCCCTCCCTTCCCCTACAGCTACCCTTGCCCTATATCCCACTCCCTGCCCTCAGCCCCCTCCCTGCCTTCTACCCCCCCCCCCCTTTGCCCTCTGCCCCTGCTAGTCTCCCTCCCCTTGCCCTCTGCCCCTTCTAGTCTTTTACCCCCCCCCCCCCCCTTGCCCTTTGCCCGATTTCAGCCGTCTCCCGATTTGCATTTCGTCTCAAGCTGCCCGCAGACGCGACGCTTGGCCGAGAGATGGTGAGGCCGAACCGCTGACCACTTTTTTTTTTTTAACTCTTCCTCTTCTCTCCTGAATGACAGTAAAAGAAGAAGAAAGAAAGAAAGAAAAAGAGCGGAAACAACGGTCAATAATAATGATAATGAAAATAAATCAACAGAAAATCATAGAACCACGAACTAACGAAATAAATCGTCCATTAGTTAGGCCTATAAAACTAAAGATTGATCAGTTCACTTCTTCCCACTAATTTGTCTCCTTCGACTCCCCCCCCACTCCTCCTCACCTCAAACTTTGCCCCCCTCCCCACCTCCCCCTCTCCTCTTCCCCCTACCCAGAACTCCACCACCTTCCCCCCCCCCACCCTCTCCCCTCTCCCTTCTTCCCCACCCCTTTCCTACATCAACCCCTCCCCCCTTCCCACACCACACATTCTCCCCTCCACCCCTTTCCCACACCACCCCCTCCCCTCCACCCTTTCCCACACTCTCATTCCAAAACCACGCACTCCCCCTCCCCCTCATCTGCCCCCGCCCCCCTCAACGCCACCAATAGGCCCTGAAACCAGAAAATCCAAATGCCAGACACGTCCCTTCATGGGCAAATAGGCCTACCTACTCCTCCCCCTCCCCCTCTCCCCCCTCCTCCTCCTCAACATCTGGGCATAGGAGTAGATCTATGACACCCTCCTCCCTTCCCCCCCTCCCCCCGAAGTAAAGTGGCAAAATGTATAATAAAAAGAGATTGGGGGGGGGAGATAGGGGGAAGGGAGGGGGAGGAGAGAGATAGGGGGGGGGGGAAGGGAAGTGTGGGAAGACAGATAGCGAATAAGAGGAAAAGGAGGAAGGAGGGAATGGAAGGAGCATGTGCAAATAACAATAAAAATGAAAGAACAAACACCAAGAGAATAAAAAAATGAAGGAGGAAGGGATACAAAAATATCAAAAGATAGGAAGAAAGAGAAGATAAACACAGAAAGAAAAGAAGAGAAAAAAGA